GGACTTCTAGTCATGTTTGTGTCTCCAAACATCTCGAACAGTGCCTGGTACATAGTAGATGCAAATTCATGGGGGTCGGTGTGCTGTGTGTGTGGGCCTCCCTGAGGCTGGCTCCTGAGTGGGATTCTCGGTATTGCTGACTGATGGAAATGGGGGGTGGGGAATGGGTTATAATTATTTTCCCAATTCTGTTTTTCCCATATCCATCTTGTCTGAAAATGTTTCTCCTGAATAAATGACTTCATTACACTTTTCTCTGACCGCCAAGGCAACACATAACATAGTATTTTAAACAGGTTTGAGTTCAAATATTGCTACTTACTGGCTATGTGCCTTGCACATAATACTTAACCTTGTCATGCCTTTGTTTTCTCATCTGAAAAGTGTGAGTTATTATAAAGATAAAATTAGAAAGTGCACGAAAGTGCTCAGCACAGGGCCTGGCACAGGACTCGCACAGTATGCACAGCTGTCGCCGCTCCCTTCCATGCAGAAAAGGCAGCGGCCCCGCAACCCGGATGCAGCTGGAGCCTTGGCCCAGAGTCTGCACTGAGCTGCAACGAAAAGGCACCACAGTCTGACTGCAGAAGCCTGGAGGACAGTCTGCTTCTCTCGTTAGGGCAGCCTTTCTCCACCAGGTTCATCTGAACCACAGAGCGCAGAATGACTGGGGCGACGATTTCCTCTTCCCTGGGTGCTGCATGACTAACACCGGTCCAGAGCTCAGGGAAGTGGATTCACTGCATACAATTCAGGGCTTGGGACACTGAGGCTTAACCTCCCTCCCTTTGAGAAAGGCTGCTCTGCTGCTTCTTGAAGACTCTGTGCAGGGGCTCAGCTTAGTACATCAAAGCCACACCCCCTAAGTCCTCTCTAGAAGCCTCTCCCTTTCCTTGAATCTTCTCACTTAACACCTCTCCCTCCCGTGCCCACGGTCTGCTCCTAGAGTCCCAATCACTGGTTCTATCTCCACGTTGTGCTCGCCACTTACCCACTTGTTCTGACTGGTGCCACCTTGCTGTTCTTGAAAGAGCAGCCTGCCTCTTGCCATCCTCATGCACTGCCTCCCCCCCCGCCCCCCCGCCCCGCCCCCTCGGGAATTACAGCGAAGCAAGTTACTGCCACGACCACACAGCAGTACACATGATGGAGACCTTGTCTTTGCTTTTTCACATGCAGACTTTTTAAAGTCACCTGGATCTCTTGCTATTTTCAAGAGCCTCTCCTTGACCAAAACCACCTAACTGTCGTGATGGGTACTACCGAGGCTCCTGCAGACCAGGGCCCTGTTGCAAAGCCACCTGCTCTTCCTGTGCTACTCCTGTTCCTGTCGTTTGGAGCGCCAGGGCTCACGCTGGCCCCCAGGAAGATAGCAGGCGCCTTTCTTTTTTTGGGGGAGGGTTATGTCACGATGTCTTGTTAGTAAGGAAAAATAACACGGGCAGGCAATTAGCAGTGTTTACTGCAATTCATATAACGGAATATCATGTAGCCATTAATTTTTGAAGAATATTTATTGACATGGGAAAATGCTCACAATGTTAAGGAAGCAGGATACAAATCTGTAAATACAGCGTGATCCCAATCTCGTAGTAAAATAAATTATATATGCATAGAAAAAACACAGGACAGAAATACACTAGAACATTAACAGTGATATTTATCTCAGGGTGGTGGGATTTGGGGTGAATTATTTTTTAAATTATTTCCGGCATTTTTCAAACTTTGCACAATGAACATATATTACTTTTTACAATGGGGGCAGGGAGGAAGTCGATACAGGTGACACCCAGTGCTGGGAGGTGGCAAGATTGACGTGGTATTCAGGAGATACTCAGTACTTGTACTCGTCAGCTAGCATCCTTGTTTATAAAGGGTAACGTCTGTCCTGCTCGCCTCCCGGGACCACTGGGCATGTAAAAGGGTCTCAAGTGTCTGTTGATTGTTACTCCAAAGCAGCAGCTCAAGTGCCTTATTTTAGGACACATTCCTCCATATGGTGTCAAAGGTGAGGAGGGATGCGGCCGCGGGCCATGTGTTGTGTGTTCTGCCACCCCCACCACAGGCCAGCATGCAGGCAGGGGTCTGAAAGCCTGCAGCCCTGCTCCGGCCTAAGGACTCCAGGTCCTTGCTGGCGATGCATCGAACAAATTTCCCACTCACTTCAACCAAGTCACCTCTTCACATAGAAAGTTCTTGACTCTGGTTCTGCTGAAATAGTTATTGCTTAAAATGGCCTGAGAATTACCACTCTCCCAGCATTCCAGAGTCATAGGAGGCACAACGTGGACCCCGGTGGGCAGTGTGTTGAAGGGGAAGGAGCAGGTTTGGGGGTCGGGCCCGGGAAGCTGGGTAACAGGCTCTTTGGAGATGATGTCTAGTATGAGATGGATGTGATGAGGTTACATGACGAAACATACATAGAAAACCCGCACACAACAGGTGTCAGTTCTCTGACCACGTGCAGGATGTGGTCACTGTCAACCTCTCCCCCGGCAAGTTCTTTTTTCATAACCAAGACTTAGTGCCCAGTGCAGGGGAACTGGAAGGCAACGCAACTCAGGTTAGGCTGCTCAACCCCCACCCTGGCAAGGCGGCGGACACTGCCCCGCTGCACGTCTTCATTTAGGGAGGCCCACACGCATGCCACAGCTATCAGATTGTAGAAATTATAAAAATATTTCAAAATGCATTTGTAGAATGAAGTAACAAAAATACTTAAATTCTTTTCTAAGCTTTTTTTCACTTAATCTAAAATTATGAATTGCCAAGTTTCATTTAACTGTTGTTAAAACTAGTCACCAAGAACTTCTACTCCCAACTGTTTTGGATGAAAATCCTAAAATGTATTGTATTCCCCCTATTTTTTTTATGGAGTGTTCTGAATTTTTTTTTTAAGAAACAGGGTCATCCTTGAGAATCAGTCTATGGGCCAGATTGTGATACGTGTCATTCGGGAAACAGACTCTCCCAGATTTGTGACAACTCAAGGAGCTTTCTCACTCCGCCCCCTTCCTCCCCACTCCTCCTGTGGGACTTTTCTGTGGGCCTAAAAGCCAGATAACTAAACATTTTAGAAATGTATGCAAATTTTAGTAGCGATTCTTGAGGCTCTCTCCGATGAGCCAAACTGCAGGAAGTTTTTGACATCTCTCGTGGAGGCTCACAGGCATTTAAAAGCTCAATTCCTGTTTTGTTTTGCCAGAGAAGTGATTTCTGGATAACTGACATTTTTACTTACACCCCATGTGCCTATCCCTAATGAGGCTATTTTAAGTGAGATGTACAAGTACTTTAAAAAAGCATGAACGGGGAAATAGTTTACCCCATGTCCTGTAAAGAAACACACACAGATGGCTAAATTGAATCAACCCCAATGTTTTATTTAATTTAAAGTTTTAAAAGGCAGTGGTTAAGCACATTATCTATGTGTGTATATATGTATGTATACAAACATACATACATATATAAAAGGAAACCAACCCTTTTCAACTTTAGCCACTGATTAACCAGGCTCACTGATTCATTTTCTACTACTTCATATGACCAATTTTTAAAGTAAAAATAGACAGCCTTGATCAGTTTAACAATAACTATTTGTGTTTCTTTTTTTTTTTTTAAATAAATAAGGTTACCGTTAAACTGATCATATGATAGAAAGGTAGAACACACACATCAGCACACACACAGCCCCCATTTAAAACATGTGACATATGAATGACCTATATGTACAAAAGGGTGCTGTTGACCCCCTGCCCCAGCAGAGGCCACAAAGAACTCCCATGACTCAGGAGTCCCTATTCCCTCTGCTGGGACACGTGTTCTTGGCACCCGCGTTAGACCTCAGAATGCATGCTCCCCATGCAGCAATACAGATGGGGGCTCAGTTCTCTGGTATAGTGTTCAGGTACGTGAGGGAATAAATAGGCATTGTAGCTGCCTCCGAACTAAACCGTCATTTTATAGGGAGAAATGTATTCTGAAGTTCTAGATAAGTGACATACAAACTTTCAGTGCAGTCAGTTTGCAAGTCCGGGGCTGTGTGTGTGTGTGTGTGTGTGTGCATTTCTATATATTTATACAAAACTGAAATGAAAAGTGGGGCGAGGTTTATGGAGCAGCTGCTTGGCTTCCATGTCGTCAGTCCTGATGTAACAAGTCACTTGCCTCAGCCCTTATTTAGCAGCTCTTTCTGCTTCCCGCATGCCTCCGTCTGCTGGAGAGATTCAGGAGGGGCAGCTCACACAAGTGAGAGGAAGGATGCGGCTAAATCTTCTGCTAAGAATCTTGGCAAATGACCTGCCAGATTCCACCAGGGCTGTGTTACAGTGAAGTCCTTCGGTTCCATCCCGATGAAATGGCGTTATTCTGCTGCTAGCCCCGCAACTCCATCTAACTGCAGCTCTGCATGAATGCCTCAGGATCGCAAAAACACAGGATCACCTCTTAAATATGCTGGATTCTCAATGAGTAAACCAGTTAATGTGTTTCTAGCCAAAGCAAGGGCATAAATGTTTGAGAAAAAAGATTCCCCTGGAGCTACAGAGAAAAGATGCTGATAAAAGCAAGACTGAATTGAGCAGGTGATGGCTTTAGTCTGTGTCGGAGCTGGTCTCTTCGATGACAGAGTACTGGCTGAGTGCTTCCTCCAAAGGCGTTATTGTCCCATCAGGTTTTAGTCCCATTGGTTTAAGCAACTCCTCTCTGGAAAAAGAGATAAAAGAAAGAAAAAAAAAGTATTCACCAGCATCACACACACACCCCTCCCTCCCGCCCCAATCCACATCCTTTTAAAAAGACAAGTCTTTAAAAAACAAAGTATTTTTCCTCAAGCTCTCTGTGTGTTTGTAACAGGAAAGATGAAAGGGGCATGGAAAGAAAAAGAGGGAGATAAAAGACTTCATTCACACAGGCCAAACCTACTAAGCCAATTAAAGGTATGAAAAGTCAAGGTCTAAATGGCTCAGGACAAGGAGCAGGTCTCTTCTGTTTTTAATAATTCACTTTTTTTCCTTTTGTGGATTCGTTTTGTTTTAGTGAAGCTGAAGCTGCTGAAACCTCACCTGTCGCAGTGGGTCAGGCATGCGGTTAATTTGACATATGTGGACTTCACTCCACGGATAAAGGCGTCACGTCTGATTTTGCCTCTCCAATCTCTAGTGATACACGGGTACTTGATTCATTTCAAATCAGTTGGCCTTCCCCAACTTTCTCCCTCCCTTTTCTTTCCTTCTCTCTCTCTCTCCTTTTATAAAAACACCATTGCTTTTGTTTGTAGCAGTTTAATTACGGTTCTGACAGCCATTTTAATCTCTTCAAAGCTCCCCAACTGCCCCTTTCCAGCTAATCCAATTATACCTACTCCACAAGTTACAGCCTCATCTAAAGATGATTAATTATTGATTAAGCCAATCAAAAAGCATTAGGAAAGATTTATTTAATCTTTTCAGAGGCTCCTATTTTATTACATGGAGATTATGGCAAATGGACCTGTTGTTGCGTTGCTGACTCTGGCCCAAAGGTCAGCAGTGCTGTAAGTGGAGGCTGAAATGGGCACATGAGCTGCTTAAACTTGTTTGTTATGGAAACAGGCATCGCCCCCTGAAAACTTGTCTACAACCAAGAACCCACATGGCAGCGGCTGTAATGTTGGTGGGACTTGGAGTGAAGGCAAATAATAAACCTCCTCTGCTGCCGTCCCCTCAGGCCAGCACAGAGGCAGCTGCCTCCGGGGAGTGCCCAGCCACACGCCAGGTGATGGTGCTAAGCCCAGTGAGACATCCTGGGGCGTGAGAGGGGCTCAGTGGCCACTGGAAAGCCGACAGCAGCCTGGTCAGTTTGAAGAATCAGTAATGTGGATAGCTGACGGGCTAAGCTGAGGCGCCTGAATATTTATTATAAAGTAGGAAACACGTTTCGTGATCCAAGAAATGGGGTCAAAATCATAGAACCTGAAGTTGAAGGGGCCTTAGAGATCATTTAGTCCAACCCCTCCTTTAAGAAGAGACTGAGTGACTTACCCAAGGTCCCATGTCTAGTGGCCAAGGTGGACCTGGGACACGGGCCCTGGATCCCGGCCGGCTCTGCGGCACACACACCTGGTGACCTGCTCTAACTGCCCTGGGTAGCCCACTCCTTCAGCCGGTCAGTGTCTGCTCAACACTGTGTGCCAGGAACTACGTCACATACGGGAGACAGGAAGACAGCTCAGCTGCCCCCTTGAGCAGGTGACATGTATACACGAAAAGTAACTCAGAACGTAACGGGGTAAAATGCTGTAAGAGAATCACGGAGGAAGGACTGTGGCGGCTCCTGAGGAGCACAGCCCACATTGCCAGGGGAGCTGGGATGGCATGCCAGGGAGGCGTGTGCCCGGAAGCAGGCACAGGAGGCATGTAAAGGGCTCTGTAGGGTCCCATTTACTTGTGTGACTGTAGAGCTTTTTGGGTCATTGGTTTCTTTGCTGTCTCTGAAGCTGTGAAAGGCCCGTGTATGGGGAGTGGCAAGGGTCCGTGAAAGAGTGGAAGGATGCAAGGCTGCAAGGGTAGCTGGGGATCTAGTGGTCAAGTGCCCTAAATGCCCAGGCAGGCTGTCTCGGGGGAGCTGTCTCTGGCGGCAGGGTGTGTGTGGGGGGCACACTGGTAGGGGCACTGGCAGAGACAAGTCATTAGGATGGCACTATCACCATGTGTGAGGGGAAACAGGAAGCTGGACTATGGCTGTGATGTGGGAAGTCAAGGCTACATCTCTGAGGTAGACCTGTGACCCACTGGGAGGGCAGGGGCTGGCTGGTGAATAGAGTGTCCCTGTGCTTCCCACTCACTGACCATCTGATGGCCACATCATGCCTGCAGCAAGGACACAGCCGATGGAGCAGGTCTGCTGGGGAGACGCTGACATCTTCAGGACATGAAGAGCATGAGGTCCTTGCATGACAACCGGGCGGACATGTTTAGTGGAGAGCTCGAAATAATCTGCTTCCATTAAAACTTCTCTCCAGCACTGATGCACACTACGCACATCTATACTTTTATCAGTTTCTAACCATGGCTGAGGATTCTGACATTGGACACTATATACTAATAACTGATACAAAAGGAAAAGGGGGACACTTTGCTGGGAATGAAACATTAAGGCATAAGAAAGCTCAGAGGTCTGAGGAGGTTGGTGGACTTGAGGGTACAGTAAGGAGGGGTGGGGTAAAGGCGGGAGTAGGTGGAAGTAGATGAGACGGGAAAAATTCTACCACGATCGTGAAGAATTGCTGGTGGACATACATCACCCCTCACACTCAGTCTCCTGCGTGCCCTTGATGATGCTGGGCTAGCTACCAACTGTACAGGGGAGCAGCTTTCTTGTTCAAGCCCGGGAGGAGTATGTTCAAATCAAGGCCATCAGTTTCATCCCTACTCCTTAATCCAATTTTACAATGGAAGTAATTAAGAACAATTCAATAGTTTTATGGCCAGTAATTCACGTACAGAATAAAAGGCCCCACATTTTAATTCCTACTGGTGAACTATTCTTCCCAAGCACTTATTTTTTGGGCCCTCTGTCTCAACCTCCACTACCGTGGGAGCTCCCGAGGGGATGAGTTATTTTCCTTTCCAAATGGCTCCATGTGACACTTGGACTTAACACTTCTGTGGGAGAAGTGTCTGTGGTCACTGGCCATGTAATCATGTATTCATGCAAATGAATTAAGGCAGCAACGTGATAGAGTGGAACAAAAAGGATCTGGAGCCAGGAAGTCTGTCTGAAGTCCCAACTCTTCCACTTACCAGTTGTGTGACGATGGGCAAGTCTCTGAGTCTGTTTCCCCATCTGTGGAATGGGAATGATGATGATGCTAGCTCTAACTACTTCCTAGTGAGGATGTGAGTAGTAGCATTAATAGTACTAATAGTGGTAGTAGTAATAACTACAGCTCAAATGAAAGACTCCCATGAACTGTAAAGGAGTCCTAAGTATTCGTGTTACTGTGGTAACACGAATGAAAGGCACATATAGGTTTAGAGTCAGATAGCCGAGGTTCTAATCCTGGATCCACCGCTCACTAGCAATATGACCTTGAACTCTCTGAACTTCCACTTCCTTGTCTGTAGAATTGGGATAGGAATACCCACCTCACTGAATTGTCATAAGGGCAAAAGGTCATTATACACCTAAAGTGTGAGGTGCAATGGCTGGACTGTTGTTGGAACCCACAGTGGCATTTCCTGTCACGTGCTTACGGAAAGTTTCCCCACGCTCATTAGGGCACTCTGGGAATCAAGTGGGAGAAGAATGTGCAGAAGCAAATAAAAGACATGGTCCCTGTCCTCAAGAAGCTTTCAGCCAGTTCAAAAGAGAACACACACGCACATTAAACGATAGTAAAAGAATTACAGAACAGCAGATCCACAAGCTCGAGAGAGTAACAGGCAGAGCTCTCCTTGCCCTCGCCTGGTGGTTGGTTCACGACACACCCTATTGCAACTCAAATCTGTTCAAAGGACAAAGAGAGAGGGTCACTTACAGATAGATATGTGACTTTTTCTTATAGCTCTCGGGCTCACTCTTCAAACCTCCATCTTAATATTTCTAATATTCTTCCTCTCTGTCATACAACAGCCCCCAAATAGCAAAATGAAATCTTTGATCCAGGGACTCACTCCTAAAAGGTCTGATACATGACCTGGTTATACTAGACTGTTTCATTTTATCAGCTCTGTTGTGTCTAGATCAGCAAGATATATGGACAGAGAATGGGAGGCATTAATGAATACCACGGACATGTTGCTCCACCAATCATATGTACACGTGGGAGGGACACAGGAGATGGGGAGGCTGGTCACAGGCTCCTTGCAGGCGATAGACGCAGAGCCAGACTGTAATGGCAGTGATGAATATGGATCATGGGGAGGAAGGCATCCCAGAAACAGAAGAATTAGTCAAGCAAAGGCACAGAAACAGGAGTTAGTTGTGTGCAGGGATTGGCAAACAGGCTGGGTTGGCTGAGGTAAATTTTTAAAAAGCTCAAAACAGATACAGGGTATGAAAGAGAATTTCAAAGGAGACTATGAAATCCTAGGCTGACAAGTTTGGATTACAGTACAGAGGTATTTTTGTCTTCTATTTCAAGGGCCTTACGTTAAAGAAATTTTTCATTAAAAAAATTCTCCTTACAAAGTTTGAAAGCTATGAAACAGTATCACTGACATATAAAAAAAAGTTGTATGCTTTCATTTTTATATCCCTCTGTGTCTAGCACAGTGCCTTGCAGATAGCAGATCCTCAATAAGTGTGTATGAACTAAATTTTGTTGCAGTTGATACCATCTTGCACTTTCACAGAAAGGAAGTGTTCTATGGGCCTCCTGAATAAACCAAAACCAAGAGAAAAGCTAGATCTCTGGGCAGAAGATTCACTTTCATCATTAAGACCCCCAGAGGCAGGAAAGGTATTATGAGCATTCTATAGGAAATTCCTTCCAGGGGTTTCTCTAGTAGACAGTGAGCAACTTGAGGGCAGAGTCCATGTCTTACCTGGCTGTGATCTGCATAGGATGGAGCACACAGCAGGTGCTCAACATGCTTACTGAAAGAATACATGGGTCATAGCATCAATGGAGAATGACAACGAACCATTTGTCAGGAATCATTCTCATATTATTTTAAGTGTAATTAGTTATTTCCCTGCTGAGGCATCATGACGTCCAGCAGAAGTCAGGCCCCCTTTGCACCGTACAGCCTGGAGCTCCCAACCACTAAATGGTGTAGACTCAGCTTCTAACATGGAGCACCAGGAGGTCTAGATTCTAATCTCAGATCTTCCACTAACTTGCTGGGTGTCCTTGGGCAAGTCATTTCCTTCTCTGGGCTTGAGTCTCCTCATCTATAAAATGAAGGGGTTGGACAAGATGATCCCCCAGATTCTATGCTAAGAGTCTAAATATTAGGCTACTAAATAAAATTTTGATCTATTTAAAAAAACTGCTAGGTTTTTAAGACACTATAACTCAATACTGCTAAGCCTTTGTTTTAATGTATTCTAAGCCTAACAGTCAAACACAGCATCCCACCTAGTTGTCACTGACATACACCAAAACCAGAAATCCTTTCTGCAAAACTATCAGCGGATGATTAGAATGATTACAAAGTAAGTCAAAGCAATGGCAACGGTTACAAGGAAGGATCTAAACTCAATCATGGCCCTCAATAAACAGGCTATCTCATGAAGAATCACTGGTCCTAAATTATGAAGGTCCCATCTAAGGGTGTCAGATATATGTACATCGTGGTTAAACACAGATACTGTATATTGAAATGTGCATCAGGATTAAGATAGTCACATAGCAACAACTCCTTCATACTTACCTTCAATGCTATACACAGGCCTTAACACAAGTTAAGACTGCCCTCGTTATCATCAAAAAGTACAGTGATGTCTACTGGATAAAGAGCCCATTCTAGGCACTGTGACAGTATCATGGCGGGCTTCTCATCTGATCAGGCATCTGGCCAGGGAAGAGATAAGCCTCCAAGAATGTTCAACTGGAACGAAACATCATTTAGAAATTTGATCTTACTAAACGATAAGGAACCATAATCTATAAGGGTTTGGCCAGGCACAAGGACACAGATAAAGCACGTCCAAGAAAGGAAACCCTATTTTGCCCCAGCCTAACCCTTGGGACTGCTCATGGAAACCAAAAAATACTTTCTTAAAGAGTTAGGGATGGGAGATTATGGAACTTATACCATATTTAAAATTTTCTGGTATGTTTCTCTTTCTTCAGATATACTTTAACATATATCTGCTCCACTAGTTCCCTGTAAGAATGGTCCTCTGGGATGCCTGGGCTTATATAAACTTCACAGAACCTTAGAGAAGATTGCACCTTTTAGGGCTTCTGGTTCCTATGTAACTCTTTCCCCCAGAAATGACAGTGCAATATTGGGGCTCAGATGCTAACATACCCAATAGCACGTTATAGAAGAGGCCAGATGTGTATGTGTATAAAACATCTTACTTGACCTGGAAGCAAGAGAATACTCTTGCCCACAGCACATGTTTTTGTGCAATACAAACAAAGCATTCAATTCAAGTGTACTTGTTGAAAAACAGGACATAATTAAGCAGTTGGTAAAATGCATTCTTGTTTCCCACTTGCAGATCTCCCAAGAGTCCCTTCGAATTTACCTATACGAGTTTCAGCTTCCCGCTTGCCACTTAGCTTGATAACGACTCAAAAATCATTCCCTTGTTTTCAAGGGCTCTTCTTTCTTGTCTGCTCTGTGTACTACAGGGCAGTATTGACACATGGAATTAATGACAGGGTCTGTAATGAAACAACAGTCATGCAAACACCGGTCTGCTCTTTTGATAAAACAGCATGTTAGAGACCTATTCACCTCCCTCTAATTGAGTACTGCATAATAGTTTCTATCCTTTTATGTAACATATTTTGTTCTATGATTAGAAAGGAAGAAAAGGGGGGAACCTATGAGGCATGGCTTCCTTCAATCATCCCCTGATTAATTCTCTGTTTTTAATGAGGGTGGCTGTTATTTGGGCAGGTTCTGTTACATACTTGTTTTGTTGACTTCTGTACAATGTATAACAAAACCCAGGATGGGATAATTGGGAACCGTTTCTTTGGCCCAGGGATTCCTGCTCTTAATGCAAGGTTGGCTTGGAAAAAAGAACCCTGACATTTTAAATTAGCCATTTCATATTTAATTCCTTTTCACATTTGAGAGATAGGATGAGAAATTGGTATATAAGTAAAGCCTTTTAATTAACACAGAGCTTTTCCAAAAATGCCTTGCAAGAATGGAGCCTGTGATGGCCTGGAGAAAGCAGCTCTGTAATCTTTGCTACAATTCCAAGTCTCAGAGTGCATCTTGTTTCAAGATTTCAGCATCACTACAATAGTCCCCAATTCACTGAAGTACAGTGGGTTTCCCAGTAACTTGGGACATTCTTATAAGTGACTTTAACCTTTTTTTCCCTCACAGAAATAACATTACAACCTCTGGCCCTGGTTAAATGTTCAGTTACATACTGTGAAAGTGTCCTTTGGACTCTGATCCTTCCTCTCTCCTTATATTTTTCATCTAATGGCTTCCCAGGGCTGCCTGGTTATACTGGTTTTTCACTAAGCCACTAGCCCAGTAGGTAGGAGGTATATGATGACTTTTCCACAGCAAATTCTAAGTATTCTGCATCTTTCAAAAATTAGTCTGAGGCCCTTCCTTCAGCCCTCACTATCATGCTTTGGGAATGGGTACAATTGGGAAGGTTAATCATGTAGCATAAACATATCACTCCCAAGACAAATGGTATACTGTCCATCCCACATCCTTCCATTTTGTGAAGGCAATTGGGAGTTGCCTAAACAGTCGCAAAGGGAAGCCTTTTTAAAGTTAAGTTTGCTTAATATGATCATACTAAGTATAAGAATTTGTTAGAATACCTAAAATCATTCTCTTTTCAAAACTGAGACCTTATTTTTAAAAAAAGACACCTTATGTTACTATAGACTCACAGGAGTTTTATTGGTTTCCTCTATATAAAGCTGTGTTTGTTTTGTTTTGTTTTTAAGCATAGGCTATTTATTTAGCTCCTAAGCTGGTATTTGAAAAGAGCTCAAATCAATTATGGAATGAAAGAGTAGGAATATATGCCCTCTAAACCTAAAGTCTCTTCTCAGGAAAATATGCTTACTATCTGTTTTTATGCTTTGTGCTTGTTTAAAATTTAGAATGTTTTATTAAAAATAATCAGATGGACAAATTTTTAAGAGGTGTTGGTAATTTTCAAGATAACATGATCTGGAGTCTGAAGACTAAGAATTGAGTCCTGCCTATGTCATTAACCAGATGCCGGGCCTTGGGTCAGTCATATAAACATTGGTCCCACTTACTCCTCAGTAAAACACCTTTCCCTACCTAAGTCACAGGGCTGTTTCAATGATCAATGGAGATAATATATACTGAAGCACTTTTTAAAAACTTTAAAGCACTATATAAATATTAGTCTATTATTGTTCTCAATTCTGTTAGAAGACCACATGCAAAGCTTCTAAAAATTTGCTACCCACCTCACAGTAAGCAGCATGGTTAAAATACAGAGAATGAGGTTAGGGATAGTGCTAGAAGAATAAAATCCAGTTTTTTTCCCTTAAATAAAGGTGTTCTTTATTATTTCTTGGTAATTTCTTTACAGAATTTTTCTATCCTATTGTCCAAATTAGCAAAATAAATGATAAGAGGTCAGTATGCCAACTGACACTACTGAGTAAAGCCGTAGAAGTAGAAGTTTGGGAAATAGAAGTTTCCCAAATAGAAAGACTTAGAAGTTAAACAAGGAGGGTAACTAAGAGAGCAGAGAGTCAAAAGCCCTTTAGCTAGTGCTTAAACCAAGAGCTCAAAGTAGTCATTCCTACTAGAGTTAAAGGACAATGACTACCAACAGGCAAGACAAAGGTAGCATGACATCCTCCTTCAGAATTGTCTATCAAGGAAGGGCCCTCTATACCCTAGCAACATACAATATCAAGTTTCTCAAATTAATCCTCACCTCCCACTTTAAAAGTACATTAATTTAACTGGATCCCAGTTCCCTTAATTGGACTTCCAAGCAACCTCAGGGTGTATGTTAATGATGTGAAACAGTGCTGTCTAATGAAAATATAAGCTACAAAACGTAAGCCAAATATGTCATCTTAAATGCTCTGGTAGAAACACTGAAAAAGTAAGAAAATATAGATAAATTACTTTTAGTATATCATAAAATATCAATGTAAAATCTGTATTAAACAAATGAGATATTTTAATTCTTGTACTGAGTCTTTGAAAGTCTGAGTATTTAAAACTTATAGGACATCCCAATTCAGACTAACCGTATTTCAAGTGTTCATCGGTCATGTATGGCTGATGGTTACCACATTGGACAGAGGAGAGCTAAAGGATTTTCTGATGTAAACAATAAAAACTTTATACTTTAGTTCCTACAATAGCTCTCACAATGCTTTAAAGATTGGTCCACATTTCTGAAGTATACCTGAAAAGCATTTCCTTGACTAACTCATCAAAAAGGTGGGTGTAATCACAGTTGTTACTTTTGTAAGCGGAGCAAAATAACTTATTTACAAGAAAAAAAATTACATATTTATTACTTTTCAGTCATAAAGCACTTATCCCAACTTTAGTAAGTTTAAAAATAATCTTTGGATTAAAAGGAACTATTCCACATTTGGTACCTGCATTTATTAAGAAAGCCATGTCCCAGATACTACACAATGACTGGCAATAAATAAATGAATGAATAAAAAATTATTAGATAAGACAAGGAAGAAATGGGAGAACAATTATTATTTATTTATATACATGTAAACTTTAGATGATTTTGATAGACTATCTAAGCAAAAAGGCAATGGACCTTGTTAAAAAGTAATGGGGTAAGGGTGGGGTGTAAGATTCATCAGTCCTGGTTCCAACTAAGGAACTAGAGGGGATTAGAAAAGTCAAAACAAACTTGAAATATTATTTCCCTTGGTTAGTTTAAGCTTAAGCTAATCAATCCTCTCTCTCCTTTTTGGAGGAGGCTGCATTATTATATACGAGTTGTGTGCTGTAGCTAAGGTGAATGCAATTGTATTAGCTACACTGGACTTGCTTAACCACACACAATCCCCATTCTAATCTCCTGCTTAAATTGCAGGCTTATTCTTTTTCCAATTCAGAGAAAGAAAGAGGAGGTGGGGAGGCAGGCAAGTTTCATCCCCCTTTCACCTCTGCTCTCACATTAAAACTGTCAAATGAAGCTTTCTCTAATCTCATGCCTCAAGCCTGAATGTTTATGTTGGATAAATATTATAATTTTATTTCTATATAAAATAAATTATGAAGCCTGATATTTAAATTAGCTAGTCATGGGCCAAACCTTTATAGAATTCTTTTCTAGTTCTGAATTTTATGACATTTGGCCAAGAAATGAACTGCCAAAAGTACACTTTATAGCTGTAAACCATATAGGCTATTTTATAGAACAGAAAACTGACCTTCGATTTGGGGATCAGCTGTGTTATTTCCTCACACACTGGGGGAACCACAGGATACAAGGCACTGTACTAGCTCGACATGAGGGGGCTAATAGGGCTCAGATTTTCTCAAACTCTTAAGACCCCCAGGTCCACTGCCAACCCCCTTATCTACATCTGTTCCAAATACAATCCTTTTGCTTAAAAACAAACAAACCACTTGGAATACTGCTAAGTCAGCTGGTATTCAATGGGGAGAAAATGTTCGAGCACTAATCTCTCCAGAGTCCTTGGAAGTCTAGGTAAGATAAAGCTGCTAGGATGGTGAGCTCCTCGAGACAGTAGCTATGTCCAGCATGGAGGCAAATGGAAATATAATTTTAATTTTTGCATTGGTGGTTTTACAGTTTTGGAAGTGAATATCATGTATACCCTACACCAGGTTCAGTAACAGTATTTGGCATGACCAACCTTAGTCAGCACTTTGGTAAGTGCTTTGGCACGGGCCACTGTTGCTAACCACCATCCTGGTGCAGGTCCTTCAGATCTGCTCTCCTATGGATGGAAAAAAGGAAGTGTCTAGTGTCCATTCATTGGCCACATCACTTCCAGCCCTATTCTTGACTCACGTGCCTTTCAATTCAGGCCCAGGAGAGAATGATTCCATTTCTGAGAAGGAAAGTTATCAGATGAAGCTACAGTACACTTTTAGTGCAGTGAAGACTTGGTGGGATGCAGGACATCCTTGGAGGACAGTTGAGGGAGCTGACCAGCAGCACAATGCTGAAGAAAATGACCAGGAAGTATTCTGGCCAACACTGACTCTCACAGACAGACACAGTAGCACAGCAGACAAAGCAAAAGTCTTGAGTTCTGGAAAATGGAGTTCCTAGTCTCACTTTATTATGAAGCTAGAAAGAGAACGCATGTGAAATGTTTTGTAAACTGTTAAAGGAAATGGATTATCACCAGACATTAGTTTGGAAATGTTTGGGGAAATTCTTTGGGACTTGCTTCCCCCAATGATAAATTTGAAAATATATTAATCAAGTAATGATAAAACAACCTGAGCTCTTTAGAAGAAAGATGTAGTATGTGAATACCAAAGATTTATTTTAACCAGAGTAAGTTTCCCTCCACCCCGAATGAATGGTCATTTCTCCACCTGTCTATTAAATGCCTCTTACACTTTAAGGATCAGCACAAATGCTACCTTTCCTGTGAAACAATCCAGACAGAATGAACTCCTTTTCCTGGGTGCTTACAGTTCAACACAGACCTTATTTTGTCATTATTTTCTTCTAGAATAGATTTCCTTCACTAGAATGTGAGCTTTCCAGAGGCAGAGCTTGTCATGTTCACCAATCTCCCTCATCTTCCTAGCACAATGCCTTGCTAACATTAATAAATGTTCCTTGACTTGTACTGCATTTAGTCTACTTTGGCTTACGGCTTCTTGTTTACCTCAAAAAAACAAACAAACAAAAAAATACCAAAACCAATAACAGTGAGAAGAGAGAAGAAACTTAAGACAAACATATAAGATGCATAAAGAATGGCTTCATTCTTTGCATTCCTGCTTTGGAATGCCCACTGCTGATCTCCACACAGCTTTGTCATTGACTGTTATTAGTGAGAGCAAATGTTAGAAAGCACAGAAAGGCAAACAATGTAAAAAACCCACCACACGCCATGCAAAGTCTGTCATTTACGACTACTCTCAAAGTTGCCTTTAGCTCCAATTTTTCAATAGCAAAATCAGTGCCAACAAGATCTATTTGCTCTGCTTTGTAAGTGCAAAAATCAGTGTCACCTTCAGGTTGAGCTGGGCATCTATCTGCTGGGTATTGCTGGGTGAGTACATATCTTCTTTGCGGCATAGTTTAAATCCGGTGGAAGCTTGGTTATTTCAGACTTGACATTTGTGCACTGATTTGTTGGCAGCGTCTAGAATATGTGAATTTCCCTGAGATTACAAGAAGGACCTGGCACTGTTTTTGTCGCTGCTATAGGGATACCTATAAACGTGAATTTATATTAGGGATGCCTCTTGTCTCTTTCAGTAAGTACCTGAATTACACTGTATTGTCTTAGGTAGTTCTATCCCCCATCTCCCACTTTCCTAGCTTGGAGCGTACTCATCCTGCATATATGGGCCAGCTGACTAGCATCTGTGTTATCTTTTAAGAACTCATGTTATTAAAATAATTTATGAACATGATATTTATGTAATTGAATGGTTTACTATTAGTATGTCCTAACATACTAATGTGCTCCACTTGGTCCTCTTAACACTTCCTCCTCCTACCAGAGGGACTATTAGACCACTGTGTTTCATCGGGTCATTTTGGAAACAGCTAAGCACAAATCCTATTTTTATATATTCATTCCAAACTTGTTATTGTGCCTCCTATAGGTTTGCCATATCGTATCTTATATTTGACTATTCTATCAAAAGTATGGAGAATGTCATCTGCAAATAGATGACAATGTCTTTTGAAGACTGTAAGCATTGCCAGTAACTGTAAATTCTAACCCTGGGAAAAGATGAGAGTTTAAAAAGACTAGCTGGAAGTTCCACTAGGTTTGCAGGTGATGAAACTACTTACTTCTAAATAACTTGTACCACACTGCCAGCATCATCTGAAAGAAGCTCAGACTCGGCAGAGGGTCTGAATACCCACCCACACTTGTCACACTCTCCATGTTTTCAAACATTTCTACTCCAAGCCTCCTGCTGTGCTCTAAGCCTCTGCCCTCTTTGTTACACCTTTTCCTTTAATGACTGGCTTTCCTATTCCAGTTGCTGCTTCTCTTGGCTGAGGGATACTGTTCTTCACATAGTAGTGAAAAAGGAGATGAACAGAAGAAATTCACCTTTAAGTGACAGCTGCCATTGACACACAGAAGCACTCACTCAAGATGGCTTAAAGGAGAAAGGGACTCAATGCATGACTGGAAAACAGAGTGATTCAGGCAAGTGTGAAAGGAATTAATATTTTCTAATAATTCCTCCAGGACAACTAGTTGCTGATTAGTATATATTTGATTTAATTATTTTCCAAACTGACTATTTTTGGAGGAGGAGATGTGGAGCAAGAAGGGAAGGGGAGATTGTTTTTAGAGCCCCTAATTAATACAAAGGCCTGCTTTCAGAAAAGCCTTCATTTGAGCTATTCCTTTTCACTTTTTCCTGTTGGGTACATGACAATTTAGAATTCTTGGTTTCATCAAAAAAGAAAAAAAAAAGCATCATGATTTTAAACAAAAACCAAAACAGACTAAAACAAAAAATACAAGAAGCGGCAAAATGACTGAACCTAACTCAGCATCTTTTTGAAGACAGGGAGGTTAGTTGGTTAAACGTCACAGTGACCTAGCAGTTACTGTCCCACCTTGGAGAGTTGGACTGTTTAAGAGTGCACATCCAGAGGCACAGGTAGGGAACGCGGGAGCCGAGAATACTACTGCTGCTGCCGGGGCCACCCTGTGCCAATCAGCATGGATTTCCAGAGCTGCTGCTCTATGGTAACTCTCAGCGAGAGAGACAAAGAATAGAACATTTGTAGAAACCAAGCAAAAAATGGATGGGAATACAATACCTGGAAAGTTTATCAAGCATGTTGACAAGTTTCATGGCTTCATATTCTTTTTGTTCTTCTGTCATTTCATCTATAAGGTTTGGCATTGGTTCCTCTAAATGACCAGTGATAAGATTAATGCTACAAAAAGAAAAAAAAGTTATGCTGTATGTTTTAAAATTATGCTCTTTCTATACTTTGCTGGTCCAAGTTGTAAGTTATAATAAGAAAGAGTATAGTTGCCAAAAAATTGGCAATAATAGAATTTTATGGTATAGAACTGCTCTAGGAATTTTTTAAAAAAATTACTTTCCTAGTATTAACTATTGTTTTTCAAAAAGTAAAACTAACTTGCCAACTTAAAAAAAATAAGGCCCGGCTGCTTTTTAAAAATTTGATTGGGTATTTAGGGTAAATATCCTTGGATGCATACCTTCTTCATTAATTATAAGGGGACAAATGATTTAAGAGAGGGAGAAACTCATTTTGTGATACAGCATAAAACAAATATATCAAAAAAACTGGAAAAATGATGATAGGCTGGAATCTGAAAATGAAAGCATGCCAATTTATAATCTCAGGAAATTAGTCCATTAGTGAGACCACAGGAGGCAATGAGTGTTTAAATAATAAAAGATAAAGCAGAAGAACAATTTTAATTAGATTTGATCTGACCTAGATTAAAAAAAAAAAAAAAGGAATGAAATGTAGCCTACCAAGAGACAGGTATACCATCTGGTTTTCTGGAAATAGATTTAATAAAGTACTTAGAATGAATAAGTTCCATAAACTATGTACGAAGTTCTAATACCAAACAAGCTATCCTCTTAGATAAAAGCCACATTATTTTTTTTTAAGAAAGTGAAATAAAAGATAATTCTTCCAATGGCGGCTAAATATCTGTAAGTTAAATATGTTTCTGGAGAAAAGGACAAGCAATTATAGCATTTTGTACCAGCCAAGTACAGATGGTTTGCTCTTAATGATCAAATTAAATATCCCTGCAAACAGCAAATTGCTAATAAATTGCTTTGTAGGGTCTACAAACACAAATGCGTTCAGGGACCAGGCCTTCAGGATAAGCAAGTGAGTGAACTGGTCAAGTATAAGCACTGTGGAGCGCTGGGACTGGAGTAAACTGGAGGTTAGAAAGTGGTCTAAATAGAAAAAAATCACAAGGGCCAAAACAAGGACATAGTGATCAATTAGGTTCTCTGGTGGCGAGCTTCTAATTGGGCAAGTTAACTTTATTGACCTGGGCTTTCTCATTTGGAGTAAGGTTAGGCCACAGGTACTATTACCAGATTTCCTTTTCTTTTGCTGAATTCCTCAGAGGCTACATGACATGCAGAGTCTTGTGAAAGAATTCAGTGCTCATCATCCTCAAAAACTGGATCTAAAACATCTGTCTTGCCATTCTTGCATAAGACCTATGTCTAGAGCTGTGGTTAAAAAAATCTTTTTTCCTTCAAAGCAGTGGAAACCATCCCTTGCTTTGTTAAGATTTAACAAATGAAACCCTAGGTAGAGGGCCAATATGTAAAGTAGACAAAAGTTGGAACTGCTCAGGCAGAGGAGATAGGGATGGCCAAGAGCCTCCTCTATTTGTCTGCACTCTTAAGGAACCCTGGTGCTCAGGGTAAACAGTCTGAAACCCACAGTGATTTTTAGTCTTGGCTGTACATTAGAATCACTTGGGAAACTTTAAAGAGAACTAAATCTGTGTGTGTGTGTGTGCGCGCACACATGTGCGTACGTGTACATATACATACACATATACTTATATATGTATATATATTTTTAAGTTTTCCAGGTAATTCTGATACACAATGAGTTAAGAACCACTGGGCTAGAGTGCCTACTTCAGACACTCATAATGCACTGTTACTGCCTCTCCTTTTTTTTTTCAGGTGCTAATAAAGGAAGAGAAAAAGTTAAGTGGCCATTAACAAAAACACTGAATGGGGTCATCATTTTTCCCAAAAATTGAGAACAAAGAGGACCCAGACAAGGATTCTGAGAACTACAGAGTTCTTAAGAGGTATCCAGATGCCACAATGAAAATGTAATTCCATCACCCATCTATTATTTGCTTAGGCATATAACAACGAGACATGTTTTTACTGGTTTCTCTACTGCTCCCTGTTAACCCAGAAAAACAACTAGTCTTATAAATGATAAGTAAAAGTACTTATTGCAAGCTCATACCACTTTCCAAGCAAACAAAGGAAATCAGTTCTTAGAACAAAGTATAAGGGAAGGTAGTAGATATATTAACTGCATCTGCTCATCTTGGCTCCTGAGTGAAGGCTTCCCTCATCAAGGCCTATGGAGGGGTGATTTTAAAAACCAGATCCACAGACTGTTGTAGAATATGATGGCATTATACAAGCCGTCATGTGCCTCAGGGAGAAGTGTGTCAGGGGGACACACTGGTGAGCTCTGTGGTATTGTGGACACCACAGCACACAAAGGTCAGGACATGCATTCCTGGGTCAGAGCACATTTGATTCTTTTCTTGGTTCTTTAAAGGCTTAATGGAAATGATGTCTGTTTTCCGTAAGCTGACCTCAAGTTCTCTGCTGCTGAAATGATTTAATGGCTTGCTCTGAAATTAGGTACTAAAGTCACAAAATCCTTTGCTCACTGAACACAAAAGTAGTAGCTAGAAATTAATTTTTATGGAGTAGGAACTTACCATCCTTTACCCATGGAGTAAAACATTCCAATCCCCCCAAAGTCACTCCAGGGACTCAGGTTTCATTTTTTCCTTCACAAAAACACCCCACGCCGCCCCGTACTCAGAACAATGTAAACAATACCACAGAAAACAACAGGAGCTATGCCACCTCTTAAGGGAAACAGGGCAGTGTGCTGGGGGCAGGAGGCAGACTGGGACACGTCTCCTCTCTTGCTCCCCACTTCACACTAGTGGCATGTAGTTTCCTTACCCAGAGAAGAATAGAAAACAAATAATAGTCACCACAACAATGATGTCAGTTTCCATAAAATAGGTTATTTTCAGTTGAGTAAACACTTGCCACCTTTATAACCTTAAACAGTAGAGTATGAGACTTAGCTTTCAGTTTCAGGATCTGAAAACTGAAATTCTGGGGTTCGTTTTATTTTGTTCCAAGACGCTGAGTCTTAAGATACTTTACACCAATTTTGGTGGATATTTTATTGGGTAATTTTATATTTACTATGATCCCCCCCACTTTTCTGCTTTCTTCCTTCCTCTTCCCAGCACTCTAATCCTATGATTGTTTGTCTTCCAATTAGATGACAAGAAGTATCTAAATTCTTATCTGTGGTATTTCATTGAGAATTTTTTATTATATTAGGCCCTTATATGAACTGACCACAGCTATATGGGCCTGGAGATGAAATTAGTAAGACATACTAAAAAGTATGAGGAAATAAACATATGCATAAAAGTTGAAATATATTTCAAGACTTTTGCTTTTTCTTTAAATTGTTGTTACATTTGGTCATCAATAGCACTAGGTCACTTAGCAAAAAAGACCCATTAAAAATTCCCTGAGCTACATGAAAGTTAACTTCGGTCTCTAAAAAGTGTGGATTAAATTTTACTGAAAGCATTCTGGCTGAAGAATGGGCTATAAAGCTCAATCCCTAACAGAGCCAGGCAGATAAGATGAACAGAAAGGATACGCTGTCAAACCAAGGGAACTTATGCTGCACCAACTCCATTGCAATGCAAGAATGTTATTAGAAAGTTCCCCTTTTTAAAAAGGAGCTGAAAATCCAAATTTTCACATGAAATATCTGAATACTAAATTCTTGCAAGTAATAATTTTAAGCAGTACTATGTAAAGTTAAAAAATAACGGAAAACACAAAACCCAAATTACCAATGCAACATGGGGAAGTCAAGCAGAACCTACCTGTGGGCTGAAATCTAACCTATGGGCTTACAATTTGCAACCTCTAGGAAGAATCAGGGTTTTAGGAAAAGGCATTGGTGAACCCAGACTAAAAAGGGAGGGGACAGGAGGGGTCGGAAAGGAGACATTATCTGCCAATGAAGCTACAAATGTTTTCCCAGGAAAAACTCCCCAGAATATTTGTCCCCACAAAACAACAAAGAGCAGAGTGGAACTTTACCATATCCTGATGTTCTTGAGTTCCATTCCCCGGCTCCCACTCCACAACTGCAAGTTGGCCTTGATGAGGGCAGCCACCTCAATCATTTGGTATCCCAATGCCGAGAGAGGCTGACTGACTCAAAAAATTTATTCAACAAAAATCCCCTGAGTGCCTACTGTGTGCCAGGCTATTCTGGGGACATCTCAATGGACAAAAACAGGCACAAAAAAAGCCTCTTCTCTCCTGGAGCTTACCTTCCAATGGGGAAAACCGACATCATAAGTAAACTGTATGGTATGTTAGAAGTGCTATGAAAACGAGCAATATAAGGAAGTGTGACGTGGAGGGGTGACGGTGTGTGCGCTGCAGTTTTTATTAAGTGTACAGAATGGGCTTCACTAAGATGATATCTGAGTAAAGACTTGGAAAAGGTGAGACAGTAAGATATGTCAATGATATAGCGGTTCCTCAAAAATTTAAACATAGAACTACATAGACATTGATCCAGCAATTCTGCTTCTGGGTATATATCCAAAAGAAGTGAAAGCTGGATCCTCGCTGGTTTGGCTCAGCAAATAGAGCGTCAGCCTGCAGACTGAAGAGTCCTGGGTTCGATTCCGGTCAAGGACACAAGTCCAGGTTGTGGACTTGATCCCTAGTAAGGGGCGTACAGGAGGCAGCTGATCAATTATATCTATACTAGAAGTCCGGTGCATGAAATTTGTGCACGGGAGCGGGTAGGGGGGCAGATCCCTCAGATGGGCCTCCACCCTCTCGCAATCTGGACCGCTGGCTCCTAACCACTCCCCTGCCTGCCTGCCTGCCTGCCTGATCGCCCCTAACCACTCTACCTGCTTGATCACCCCTAATCACTTGCCTGCCTGCCTGATTGCCCCTAACCACTCTGCCTGCCTGCCTGTTGTCCCTAACTGCTCACCTGCCTGCGGGATCGCCCCTAACCACTCTGCCTGCCTGCCTGATTGCCCCTAGCTGCTTGCTTGCCTGCCTGATAGACCCTAACCGCCTCTGCCT